GGTGAACGAGGGGGGCAGAGGAAGGACTCACGTGGGGGTCTCCCTTCTCGGCGGCCAGGCCGTGCAGGTCCAGCAGCGCCTGGTTCACCGACTTCTCCAGCTGCAGCGCCGCCTCCACCGCCTCCAGCGCCGACCCCCAAGTGTCCCGCTCCGGCTTCTGGAGGAGGAGAGCAGGGACCGTCACCACGGGGGGAGCCCGAGACCCCCAGCACCCCCCGGCACAGCCCGAATCCCCCCGAAACCTTGACGTCCTGCAGCAACACGCGGCCGCCGCGGCGCGTCTGGAAGCGCAGGAGCCCCTCGGCGTGTTCCCGCTCCTCCCGAGCCTGATCCTGGAAGAACCGGGCGAGCCGCGGCAGCGCCACATCGTCCCGGTCGAAGTAAAAGCCCTGCGACGACAGAGGGAGCGGGAGGCGGCTCAGGGGGAGCCCCCCGGGACTCCCCAAAAAGCCGCCCCCCTCCCCAGAGAGCCCCTTATCTCGCCCTCGCAGGCGGAGCCGCCCCACCGGCACCGGCACCGGCACCGGAGGGGTTTTGGGGGGCAGGAGGGCGCTCGGGGGGGGTGGGAAAGGGGTCTCAAAGCCCCCCTACCATGGACAGGTAGACGTAGGAGGCGTGCAGCTCCACGTTGGCCATGCGGTTCACGGCGGCCTCGCAGTCGCGGTGGTAGTTCTGGCGGATTTGGGACTCCATGGCGGGCGGACGGACGGACGGACGGACGGGACGAACGATGGGACAGATGGACGGACGGGACGGACGGACGGAGGGCGGCCGGTTCCGTTCAAGCACTGTTGAAGCGAGAACGCGGCTCTGCCCCGCACAAAGCCCCGCGCGGGGGTTTTATCCCTTTCGGCGGTGGGCGGGACCACCCGCCCCCCTCCATCCCCCCCCCCGGGACCCCCCTCCCGGGCCGGAAGGCGCGGTGGCCTTGGCCCTTGTCCCTGTTTGTCACACGGGGCCCAGTCAGCGTGACTGGGCAGGATCGGAGGGGTCGGAGCTCACGGGCGGGGGTCCCCCGGGGTGGTGGGGGGGTTGGGGGGGTTTGAGGGGAGCCCCCCTCTCCCTGCTGGGCGGGGGGGGGCACAGGGAGTCTGGCGGGGGAGGGATGGAGCGGGGGAAGCAGGGGGAATAATTTTTGGGGGACTCAGCGGTGCCCCGTTAAGCGGAGTTCGATGGCCCCGGGGTCACGACGGGGCGGGGAAGGAGCTGAGTCAGCCCCGGGGCCATAAAAA